TCAGAGAATCTCGTAACTCGATCTGATCATCCAGACCGTCGATTTCAGGTTCGCCGGCATTAACCTCGTCGCCATCCTCCTCCTCCTCCGCGCTCCCGATTTTCCGGTCACTAAATTCCCTCTCTAAGAAGGAGTTCACCAGATCGGAGAGATCGGCGGAGTGCTCGCTGCCGCTGCTTTCCCATGATTGGATCCTCGACATCTCGTGGAACGCCGCCGCCACACGCCGGAACCTCACCGGAATATTCGCCATCTTTTGATATTCCTCTTTTTATAGGAGAAACTGATTTGATGAGCTGGGAAAATATACTCAGCATATGCTTTCTCTGTGCTTTTATAGAGAGAGAGAGTGGTGAATTAGTTTGGTGGGGAAGAGGACAAAATAGGTCAAGCGACGTCGTTTGGATGGTGGGATGGTGTTAACATTCAGAGGAAAAATGGAGTCACTTCAGTGTGGAGATGAAGACATTTTGTCGATAGGACGATAAGTACCAACTATACATACATATATATGTATATATATATTGTGTGTATGTATATATTTGAGCGTATGTATGTATTATGTATACATTTGCAGGGTGTTTGCACCAGAGAATGTACCGAGAGTCGGAAATAGGACCAGGTTCAATATCTAATTTAGCTCAAAACATGGACTGAATAATTTATTTATTTATTTATTTATTTATTTATTATGTCGATCGTGTGCATATTTAAAATAATTATGTATATATACTTGAGATCCTGGTAAATTAAAATAGAATATGGCATGAAATTTCTATTATAGTTTGAAACCCAAATTAAGTTGAAGTTATATGGTTCAGTTCAAACTTTCAATAGAATAAAAAAAAAAAAAATGTAACATTTATTCGACCAATATATGTATCTATATATATATTATAATATTGAGGTACAAGTATATTTTATCATATTAACTAAATGATTTTGTTATTATTTATAATTCTTATGTTTCTTATTTTCTTGAGTAAAACAGTTGTGCAATTTTTTTTTATTTTTTATTTTTTAATTTGAAATTGGGTATACATACATTGCTTTTAAATAGTGGCATGATAAATTTGATAACCATGCATATAGAAATATTTCTCTTTCAATAATCATTTATTTGACACCATATTTCATATAAACTAATTTTCATATGTGCTAATCGACCTTTGTATTATGTAAAACAATTAACATAAATAATGCAATAGAGTATTTTTTTTTATTATTTTTAATATAGATTTGAAATATTTTTGCTAACATAAAAATGGTTGCTCAAACATATAAGATTAGAATGGCAAAATTTCAAAAATGGTCCACTATGTTGGTCATTTTTTGAAAAAAAAAAAAAAAGTCCATCATAGTGTATCACCAAGAATGATCCACTAAGTTGTCATTGCAATCATTATTCATACAAAACCAACATAGTGTACTAAAACGGATCATAATTTTTAGTACACTATGTTGGCTAATGTATGTGTTTGATTAAAAATGATAATTTAGTGGACCATTTTCTTGATGACATCCTAGATGATGAGCCTTTTTAGAAAATTACCAACATAATGTACTAAAAATAAATTTTAGCCCGATTAGAATGATGGCATTTTTTTATTTTTATTTTTATTTTTCAAAAGAGGATCAACAGTGATTCTCCACTTATCCTTTTGGGTGACTTCATAAATTGGCAGGTTGTACGTCGAGTCACTGTGCAAGTAATTGATCCGAAATAAAACCCCAAGTGAGGTTCTTTCTCAATACCAATTGGTGGAAGGAGGAGTAACTAATTAGACTTATAAATTATATCTATTTTTTCATATAAACGATGTGAGACAACTCACAAGTGAATATTCTAATACGCTCACTCACTTGTGAGTCCTTAATAATAAAGACCAAGTCTATATACGAAACTGGGTGCACAAGCCCCACACTATCAAAATATTTACTTGTGAGTAATATAATGGTTAACATGAAGTTTGATACAATATATGTGACAATATTATGTGGATTTGCACATCACATCAATTTTGAAATAATCAAATCTTATCCATATACATTATTTGTGTCATCCATTATGTCACCAAATGATGTCAATATAGCATAATTCTTATTGTTAACAGAGGATTATGGTTGTGTAGTAAAATTGATGTTTTGAATAAAGTGGCATGTGTGCTTGTGCAGTTTGTTTCGCCGATTGGAAGAAGGGTGTTATTCTATTTAGTTTATGTTGTTTTGTAGTGTTTGTGTTGTTAGTTTGTTTATGTTTTTCTTGTTTTTGTTTTGTGTGGTTGGTGATTCTCTTCTTGCAAGAGCTTATTCTCCTCTAGTAGGAGCTTTTGTCCCGATTTGAAAATTGTGTTATTAGAGTTGTCTTGTGGTGCATTTGTGTAGTCTTGTGGGCGAATTAGTGTAATATTACTAGGCTCCGAATCTGAGGTCCTCCCGCTAGATTAATCTACATAGCTGCTTGATTTTTCTAGCTGTATACTAGTTGTATTTATTTGTTTTTATAAACTCTATCGTTTCGACAAAATAAATAAATAATAATTAAATAATAAAGTGGCACATTGAAATTTAAAAAAGTGGGTTTATGACACACTTTTCAATCTGGATAGGCCCGGTGTCGGGACTGTCCGGGTGGGTGCTTTAGACAGAGTGACATCAGACCCAATCAAACCTGGCCTTGACACGATTGACCCGAGCATCGACCCAGTCCCTATATTTTGTACAAAAAAAAATTATTTCAAAATAAAAAAAAAAATATGTACAAATATTTATATGGTAAATTATAAGATACAATATTATTAACAATTTGATGTACAAAGTTTATACACTATATATTTATTTATGTTACTTTTTATGTATATATATATATGATACAATTATTATATATATAATCTTAAAATGTAAAATTAATCATCGAGTTCAACAATTTACTCAGTGACTCAGTGGTTGAACAGATGACCCGGTTGACCCAAATACCTACTGGGGTCGAATCTCTAGTCGGATTGAAAAATTATGGCTTATAAGATTTATTATTATAGAAGTTTATGGTTGTGGAAGTAAGATAAAGTTTTAAACAAACACATTGGAAGTTGAAAAGATACAGTATTTTATGGGGTTTTAATACTGAAGCTGTTTTTATAAATGTGATTAAGTTGATAATTAATCACCATTACTGTTTTAGATTTCTTAAAAATTAACCAATAGGACTTATTGTGGGTTCAAAGGTCATATTAAGGTTTTATCCATATAGTATATTTCAATTCAAATCAGAATGTGGAGACTCGAGCACGAGCTCAGTGGTGTGACTAAGTTCCACGAACCTAAATAATGTCCAAGTTCATTGTATCTCTGGGGATAAGGAGTTTTTTTCCAAAAAGTCACCGAATTATTGAGTGCTAATCCTCCCTATATAGAATGCACTGAGTTTATGTGGCTGCTTCTGGTGCTTCAGAATCATATTTGGGCGAATAATCATGCTTCGTAATTAGGTTTGGACAAATAATATTAATATATTAATAATTAATAATTTAGGTTCGGGTATTCCATAAATATTACTTAGCTAACTTTGGTATTTTAATATCACTTTTACTAATATAACCCTTTAATTATTTGTAATTTTATATAGTGAGACACTAAGTGACTAATATATCCCTAAATTTTGATTTGCTTCCTTCAATAAGTTATTGATTTATAAATGTATTTCAAAAGTAGATAATTTTTGTATTTCTTATCGGTTTTACATATATAATATATCAAATTAATCATCTTTTGATGATCTTCGATTTGACATCCATATTGTATATATAAAATAAATAAATTAAATTTATCCTTATACTATTAAAAAATAATAATATTTATTAAAATTCATTAGAAAAATAAAATTATTTCTCAATTGATATATTTGTATTTAATGTAGATATATAGTGTAAGTTAAAAAATTAGTATAATATAACACAAATAAGTCGCACAAATAAAAAGTATCATAATAAATATATAATATATATATATATATATATATATATATATATATATTCTTATAAAATGTATTTAAATTTTCAAACTATTTTTTTTCATTAATTTTAAACTTTAAGAAAAAAATTAGCAAGCACCCGTGTAATACACGGGTGTTGTACTAGTATTCATTGTTCTAGAAAACATTTCTATATATCATTTTTCTCTTAGAAAAGAGCTACAAAACCGGGCCTCTGTTATTGAATGCCCCTTTGCACAAAAATGGAAATCCCAAATAACAAGATAAAACTGCAAATTTGGTCTCACTCGTTTGGGATATTTTGTTCGGATATCACAACAAGCGCGGCGGACAAAATTACCACTTCAACAAATATGACAAACACTATTACAAACGAAAATAAGTCAACACAAATAAAAGACGAGAAATAAAAAGCACACAAAAATTGATAGCAGAGTTCGACAAAAATAGCTTACGTCTCCGGGCACCGCCAACCGTAACGCCAAATTTACTAAACTAACCAACAAAATACAACTATGATTAATAACCCACAAATTAGGATTTCCTTCTAAGATAGAAGATAATAGAATAAGGTGCAATTGTAACTCAAATGCAAGAAATCTATTTATACTAAAAGGATCCTACACATCTTTGATACACATCCGAGACATAAGATAAATCAAAATCTAACATATTTTTACAATTGATACCAAAAATTGCATTTGTGACCTTTTTTTATTTTTTTGTTGAACAAATGATCTTACAGCCGTCAAAATTGACATAGCAATTGTTTGGGACTAAATTTGTAATTTTCTCTTTTTAATTTAAAAGTTAAAACACTCTCTTATTTACCCAAAGTCGAACACGACGTAGTAATTTATTATGCATGATGAGGACAATTAATTTTAAAAAAATATATCAAATGAAATAAAAATTTGGCCACACATTTTTCGTCTCAGCAACCATGTTAAAAAAAATATCCTATTTAAAGAAAATGCAAATATGTGTTTATTTAATTATTAGTATTAATTAAATATAGTTTCAATTAATATAATAAGTAATATGGAGTTCTAAACTTTTTAAGAGAAGAACTTCGTATTATATATACACGCATATTACCTTTCAAATATACATGTGGGTGATGACGGGGTGAAAAGTATGGTTTATAGATTGGAAGGTGTATATGAATATCTGTTTGGATGGAATAACAGGAAAAAAGAAATTATGTGGGTGATAGATCTTACTGGCCGTGGATCTGGGGACAAACGAGAAGGAATTCGGAG